AGCAGGAATTCGGGACTGTTTTCAGATATTTCTCAGCCCCCTGGCATAGGATATCTCTATTGTTGTGTTTTAAAAATACAACCTTTTGTCTGCCAGTATTTTTGTTTGAAGGTAGATTAGTTTCACTTTCATATAGTTCCAATGAATGAAGAAGCTCTAGTTCCCTGTGTTAGTAGCATTGCTGTTTAAGTGATCCTGAAGATGTGCCTGCTTATAATAGTATAATTAATCATATCTGTTTTCTTTCACAGGGCCTGCTCATCCTGGGGCTAGTCTTGCTAATTGTGTACTTCATAATCCAGCCATATACCCCTTTGCCACCTGAAACCACTCTCTCCAGAGCCCAAGCCTGGGGCTCCCTCATCGTTCATATCCGGCTCCTGTCTTTGCCCATTGCCAAGAAGTACATGCTGGAGAGTAAGAAAATAATTTCTTTGCTGTAACATACCAGATGCATTGAGACGGGAAAGACAGCAAACACCAAGTTAAACACTAACTGTGTATACTGGTTGCATCTTTCACTCGCCTCCAAATTAATAGATGTTTTACTATGGAGACACAAAAATTGGTCTTATACATAGCTTCCATCATTTCAGCTAGAGCATGAAATTAGCCCTAATGAAATCCCTACAAGCAATTTCCAGTTTACAGGCACAGACTGGGGTGTATTTTTCTCTATTACTTTTTAATCACAAATCCCTTCTTGCATGTTCTCTCTTTCTGGTGTTTAACACTGTGGGACAAAAGTTCAGATTGAAGAAGCGATGTCCCTTCTTTAAGCATCTGAGTAAAGTACTCAAGGATAGGGGAACAATGAGGAGCTTGATATATTTCTTTGTAAATACTGCCCTTTCACTCTTGATTAAGAAAGAGGAGGGTAACTTTGTGAGTCAAAGGCCAGTTTTGGGAAGAGTTTTGAAATTTCAGCACGTGATTCTGATTGACTTGGAAAAAGGAAACTTTGCCTTAGTGACACACTGGGAACAGACTGGAAGAACACTGTAGCTTTTGCATGTAGAGTGTTCTCACTGAAGTCACTTAGAGCTTCTTGCATGGGGCAGCTGGAGCATTAGTCTCCCAGTTAGGGGCACTGATCCCATGGTGATGCTGGGACAGAGAGAACAGCAATGGAAAAGTTTGTGCTGGGTTCTTACCAGAATAGAAGCAAGTTGGTGTACACAAACCCAGACTAGTAGGTGGGAAATGGCTTGGGTTCCTGTGCTAATGTTGATAAACTCTTTCCTGAGACTTTGGTAACGGTGATATGAAAGTTCTTAATTCTTCTGACGAAGAAGGTGGCATGATATCGATCATCTCTCCACCCAGCATAAAACAAATACTTATGTCCTTGCTGTAGCCTGGTTTATATTTAGTTTCAGGACTTCATTGTGTCAGAGTTCCTTGTTCAGGCTTTGACTTTTCCTGTGGCAGCTAAAAAGGTCAGTCTTGAATTGCTAGCTCCCTTCTTGTGTTTTCTCAGAGTGTCTCCCTTTGTTCCACTGGCTCAAGCCCTATGATCTAAGCCCACTTGGGTGGATCAGGGTATCCCCTTTGTTCACTTCCTGGCTTGCAAACTAAGATTTCTTGGGCCAAAAATAATAAACCTGGGTAGAGGAGAGGCCCTGATTTACAGTTGGTATTGATAGTGTGTGTGTGTGTACACAAGTCGCTAAAATGCCGTTGGTGCTAATGAAACATGTCTCTTCCTTTCTCTGCTGAAATGTCAAACACAGCAGATAATTCTGCACTTCTAATATTTTAACATGGTCTAGAGAGAGGCGGTTAGTTGTGCTAGGCAGAAGTCATGGCAGCGTGGCACCTTATAGATTAACTTGTTCAGAGAAGTGTGAGCTATGAGGACGTAGGCTGTAGCCTATGAAAGCTCATGCCTCTCTGAACTAGTTAGTTTATACTACCCTGCTTTCTGCTTAAAATGATCTTGTTAGTAAGATGCCACAGTACTTTGTAAACATGCAACTCACAGGTCTTCTCGAGTGGGGAAAGGCTACTGAGGATTGCTGGGATTGTGAAAAGTCTTGAAGGAAGAGGAGCAGCTTCAGTTTGATTCCTGTTGAAGTCAACAGCAATTGACTTCAGGTCCACAGTCTTAATGTGAGAGAGGGCTGAATGGGAGGAGGTTGGAAAGTATTCAAGGGGAATAGGAAAAATCTGGGTCTGTGAAGGTGGGAGAGAAAGTTACTCAGTTCTTATACATTGCCCCAACTCTGCATGGATTTCAGGAACTTGGGGTGGGGAGAAGCCAGAGTGTAGATGTGGGGAGAGGAAGGAAGCAAAGATTGGGGGTGAACCCTTGTGGCTTTGTGGATTTGGAGCATTGTGGGACTGGTGCCTTTTGGAGGCTTATTTTTTTTGAATGTCATAGCACCCAGTTTCATGTCCTGCAAGAAGGGCGGTGCTGTGGCCCTGCTCTGACTCCTCCCTGCCTGGGAGGTGCTGACTCTCTGCTGCCTGGGATCTGGATCACTTAAACATTCCCAGCTTCCACTTTCCTGCTCAGTTGTTCTTTTAACAACATAGTTCTCTGTTGTCTTAGTCGCTATCTCTATACCATCTAAATAGGACCCATAATAACAGGGAGTGAAGGCTGCTGCTGTGTCAGCATCTGGGCTGCAAACAGAGCCCAGGATGCACCAACACTGGAAAAAAAAAAAAGTAAAACATTTACCCTGGTTTGACCAAGAGGAAACCCACTGCATTACCTAAAATATTCTTACCAGGCACTTCCACAGGGAGCCCCAGTATCAGGGAAATCCTTTCTTTTGATGTTTTTATTGCTTCATAACTTCAGTACATTACAGAAATGACCAGTAGCCCTCTTAAACCACATTTCTTATGGATTGCTTGACTTAACAAGTAGAAGAGCAGCCAGGAGAGGGAGAGTAGCAGTATGTGTGACTCTGATGCATACTAGTGCCAAGGAAGAGGAATCATTTAAGGTCATTACATGGCATGAAGTTGAAGAGTGGGAGGGGATACAAGCTACATATGAGGAACTGCCATGACAGCTGTCAAACAGGGATCACCCAGCACAGCGGTGGAAGTAGTTTCCCTTAACATTTATCACTAGACTTGTTGACATACTAGGACATATACTATGAAGGCTTTGCACTGGCAAAGGAGGAAGGAAGGTTCAGTATTTTATGCACTGGAGTAGGCTTTGGTGGGGTGAAGGGATCTGGGTTTGGCTGCAGGCTGTGCCATAGTTTTCTTGTGTTATCTCAGGCAAAGCACTTATTCCCGTGGGCCAAGTTCCCCTGTCTCAAACTGCAGATAATCATCTCCACCCTTTGCCTATCTTGTCTTTTTTGCTTGCAGGCTCTTTGTTGCAATGTTTCTTAGTATGGGTGTGTCCACTGCCTGTTACAGTGGACCTCTTCATTAGGACCTCTAGGTGCTATTCCAGGGCTATCAAACTCATCCCATACCCCGTGCTGGATCTGTGGGGCCAGCAACAGTAGCCGCAGTACTGGTGGTCTCAGACCAAGTGACCATATGCTCTGGCAGTGGCGGGGCAGTAGGCTGTGGGGATGTGTTTGACACCTTTGGGCTACTGAAATAATAATTTGGTGGTGCAACAGATAAGCCAGTGGTTCTTTTCCCTGCCAGTTTTCTGGTTTGGAAGGCTGTTGGATGTCTTACAGGTTAAACTTGCAACATGTCCTGATGACAAACATCATGTTCTCACTGTTCCAGCTTTATCATCCTGTATCCTGCAAGCAGTCATAGTGCTGAGTTTGTTGTGCCACTTGTTTCTGTGACTATGTAAATTGTGATGGTCTTAAAGGCAAAAATAAGGTGTGTACTGCAGAGTGGTATAAAAGGAGAAGTTATATGGAGAGACAGCAAAAAAAAAAAAATATGTTGAAAGCAAGAGAGAGAGAGAGAAACAGACCAAAATACGAAACAAGGGCCCAGTTCTGCAAAGCCAGCTTCCTTCTTTAATGTAAAACTGGGTAGAATGAGTTCATTTCCAAGAAGACTACTAATGACATGCAGAGCCCTTCTTGCCTGGACACGGATTCAAATCCCACATGCTGATGGCTGAAAGTAATCCTTCACTGATTCAAGGCAGGCATGACTGTCTCCTGCGTGGACACGACATGTTTACTTTGGATTAATTTAACTTTAGGTTAAAAACAGGGCAGACTTACGATGCACAGCTTTACATCACTGTGAGTCGCTCCATGGTAAAGTTGCCTTCAGAAAGCAAGGGCTGACTGTGCACCAATGTAAACTTCATTTCTGTACTAGTCGGGTGTCTGCATCCCTAGTCACCCTCACCTTGGTGGGCAGCTGTTTGCTCAGTGCAAGCCAGTTCTTCTGCCACCCAGCGATCAAGCAGCTGGGTTGGGTGAACTGGTCATGTGTCTGCTCATTACCATCAAGTAAGTTTATTACAGAGTAAAGCCGGTGGTAAATTACTCTTAGTAATAGTGTCATGTGTCTGTGCACTCAGTCTCATTTTTGGTAGACACATGTAGACCCTACCATCCTCACAGGCACCATCATGGGTGACCTCTATATTGAAATTAAAGGTTAGGGAAGTACTGCTGTGTTTACTACGCCGCTGGAGTTGATGTTGCTCTTCACAGTAGGAGCAGCTGTGCCTGATGGGTTGTTTGCAGGGCTGGATGCAAATTTAAGTTTCCTTTTCATGTGTACCCTTTCCTCCCCACCCCATACCCTCAAGTCCCAAGTCATGTCCTCACCTTCCTTAACTTACATCTGTCTGCCTTACTCGAAGATGTTTTCCCAATGTTGGCAGCTGAAGTCCCGTTGGTTGGGTAAAAGTTCTGCAGAAATGTGTTTTGCATTTTCTCTAATTGAGCCAACGGGTTTACACAGCATTTGTGCGAGCGAGCACCGGCCCTTGGTCACATTGCACTTCCCATGAAGCAAAGGAGAAGTCTGCCCAGCACAAGATGGCTGGATCAATTGGGTAGACTTGGCTCAGGACCCCTATGTAGCACATATTCTCAGGAGCTTGACAGGTCATCTCTTGGGCCTGGATTGTTTTCTTACCTGTATTGAGACAAAATAATGTGGAAAAAAAATCATTTGGGGTAAAGGGCAGATGCTTACATGGTGGGTGAGGGGGGTTAGCTCGTTTCAAAGGGGAAAGATTGTAGGTAGGTAGGGTGCTGGACCAGACCTGGACTGCCTTATGATCCTTGCTTTGTAATAGGTTTCTTGTGTCACCTTGGGCAAATTTCTTAAACTGTCTTCTCGTATTGAAGAGCACTGCCCTGTTTTGCAAGGGTGTTATGAGGATAAATGTGGTGAAGGCTGTGGAGTAGTTAGATTCTGCTGGGGCCATGTACGTACTCTAAATAGAAAGCTGCTTTGCACAGGGACTTTTTGGCCCCAACATCACTGTGAAGAATATGATATCAAGT